CTCCCCTTCCCTTACGGAGCAATCCCTGCTTAGCAGAATATAGCCCCAAGATGTTTTCCACAGTTAACATCAAAATATTTTTTAAAAAGCAATTTAATGAGATGACACCCACACTCTGAGATGAAATCATTCTAGATTACCATTTTCCCTCCCTCCCTGCCCACTCCCTTCTTTTCTGGCATGATTTTAGCAGCTAATATCTGTATGAATGCTAGGAGTTAAGAATTATATAATGAGACAAATCATAACAGTGATGCCTATTAATACCAGGTGAGGATCAAACCCTAGTGCCTTCCCCGTTTGAAAGCTGTGGTAATGAAATTTCACATGGCATATAGCTTTGGACTGAATGGAAAACACTTGGTAGACAGAGGCAACTAAAATCTTTCTGGAACTGAAGTGGATGGGGAAGGGCCAAATGGACACGAGGACAGTGCTTAAGGAGGCAAATGGTGTTGCAGGGACATCTAAACGGGCAGGAACAAAATGATCCAGACAAGCATCATCTTCTCTGTGAGCGGAGGTTTTGGCCAGTTTTCCAGGGGATGTAGAGCAAATAGGGGTTGAATGCCGATCCAGAAGCTGTCATTGACGAGAGAGCGGTAAAGCATATTAAGATCTTTGGATGGAAAGTGCTATATATACTTCCTTAAGATACTGTTTTCATTTTAGTTAATTATTAAGTATTACTATACATTTTATTATTAACTAAATTTTATTTTTGAGGGTCAGGCAAAAATATAAGCTGTTTGTCTGAAGACTCTATCCCACTTTCAGTATTTTACCCATCCTAAAGCCACTCTCTGTCCTTTGTCATTCTCTTATTGGGAATGAAAATGAATAAGCTGAAATGGTATGTGACACCACAATTTTGGTGGAAATTTCCCTTTTTTTTCTGTATTAATATGTTATGTTTCAAACCTCTGTTAATTATTTTTCCTTGTTGAAAGCTGGGTTTTGTTCCTTTGGAGGGATGATTTATTGTAAGTGGCTGTGAAAAGACATTAGGAAAGCAAATAGTCCTTTGGGAGCAAAGAGTCACAACACAGAAAAACAGCTGTTGAGACTATAACAAAGAGTCTAGTGTGCCAACATGCAGCAACAATATTCAAGATAGGGAAAAAAAGGCCAGCATCTTCATTTGGGTGGAAAAAAAAAAAGCAGAACAAAGATGTAAACATCTGAAAAATTGGCAGATGGATCAGAGCTGTGCACAACACCGGAAGAGAAGGAGAAATTGCCATGTGTGGGAGGGGGTGAAAATGGAGAAGGTGCTTCTGTTATACCTTTGGGAATCAGAATAAATCAGTACCATTTGAGAAAGCACAATGACAATTAAACTGGGTAGCTATGAAGCATTAAATTTATTGTCAAGGTAAGCAGTGGGAGAATCAAATCATCCACTGATATAAATCAGACTTCCTGAAGTCAATGGTGCTAGAGTGGATTACTACTAACCCCAAGACTTGTGTTATGATTCAGATAGCAACAACATTGTTCATACATATTTAGGATTTTTGGATTATTTTGCAATATATAACATTATGCCAACAAAGTATTTTAGTGCAAAGTCTATTCTGGCTGATAATTGGGATAATCTATAGAGGCTCTCCTGTAAGCTGTAACCCATGGCTATAGCTCAGCTCACTATGAGAAAACTCTGAAATGCATTTAAAAATGTATCTTTTGTTAGACTGAGTATTTGTAAGTTGCTTTTTGGCAACAACATCTGACAGGAGAGGATCGTATCTCCCTCACCTTGGGATCATCCTGGGCATCAAGGGTGCTAATGCATTTAAAGCGGAAAAGTAAAAACAGTAGGAAACTTTAATGATACTAAGTAGCATAATTTTCGACACTAAATGCTTGGGGATTCTATAAGGAAATCTGAAGGGCCAGACTTTCTCTCCTTGGTCTAACCCCATTTTCTTCTGGAGTAGACTGCAGGTGACCTTTAAAGAATTTGCCTTATTTCCAAAGAAGCATCTTGGTGGAGATGGGAGTCAGAAAAGGAGCAGAGGAAGGGACAGTTCTACTCCCATAAACTCTCAGAAAATGGATGAACCCACTGGGAGGTCACATTTAACTGCCACAACAAGTCCTTGGATCTCTTAGAGCAAGTCCAGAGGAGGGCCACAAAAATGATCAGAGGGCTGGAACACCTTTCCTATGAAGAAAGGCTGAGAGAGTTGGGGTTGTTCAGCCTGGAGAAAAGAAGGCTGCAGGGAGACCTTATTGCAGCCTATCAGTACTTCAAGGGAGCCTATAAGAAAGATGGAGAGAGACTTTTTACTAGGGCCTGAAGTAATAGGTCAAGGGCTAATGGTTTTAAACTGAAAGAGGGTAGGTTTAGATTGGATATAGAGAAGAAATTCTTTATGATGAGGGTGGTGAGACACTGGAACAGGTTGCCCAGAGAAGTAGTGGATGTCCCATCCCTGGAAGTGTTGAAGGCCAGGTTGGATGGGGCTTTGAACAACCTCATCCAGTGAAAGATGTTCCTGTCTAAAGCAAGGGGGTTGGACTAGATGATCTTTAAATGTCCCTTCCAAACCAAATCATTCTGTGATTCTATGATTCTGTAAGTCTAAGTCACAGGAGCTCCAAAGGTGTTCGAATTCATACTGAGCCCTGAGCCAGAGCTGTCACAGACCCCATATAAGCTCCGTGCTTCCACCCCTTGAGCATCCTTGAGCACAAACAGCTTCCTTAAGGTACGACTTGCTGTTAAAACTAGGAAAAGAACCGATCCTTACACTACGCTCCCCCAGTGACAGTGTCACACTTAAACCCACTGAGCTCCCCTAACCAGCTCATGGAGGCAATTGTAACTAAAAACATGATTTATGCAAGAAAATGCTAATGCCACCATTAATTTGAGATCTTAAGCACAAGATATTGGCCTGATTTTCCCATGGCCTACATCAGTGGAATTCAGTTGATACCGTCGGAGTTATCCTAATTTGGTCTACTAAAGGCAAGAGGAAAGCAAATAACTGTTACTTTATTTCTCTGTGTGCCATCCACCTTTAATACAACTCTCATTTCTTTAAGAATTGAATAACCTGGACCCATAGATTACCCCCTCAAAACTTCAGGGCGTGTTTTTCTAGAGTCATTTGCACTCCATAGTGACTTGTAAAAGGCAGCCAGCCTTCTTTCCTCCCAGCTCTGCCTTTTCCCAAGTTTTCCCAAGCTGATGAATCACCGGATACTCTGCCCTGCAGGTAGCTTTTCTTAACTCCAGCACCACAGTGAATACAGAAAGAGACTGCTTAACAAACTCTCCTTTGTATCACCCACAGACAAGTCTAATGCACATTGCTGTTGAATGAAAAGCTTATCTCCCACCACAAATGTCGTTTAAGCAAATATGCAGAAACTCTCTGTATTCAAATTTACGGATCTCATCCCAGGGCTGCAGCTGTGGCATCTAAAATGTAGTTTTTATCAATGACAGGCAAGCTCACAAAACTGGGGACTCCGGCATCCCTTGTGCTGATTGACTTCCAGGTCCTGCAGTGTAACTTTGAGCAGTCCCTGGACGAAGAAATGCTCTGGCTGCCGCTGTTCCCTTTGTTTGATAGGAGAATGCTGAACCCAGGGGAGTAGCTGAGTGAAATGGTTGTTTTGCTATAAATAATTCATAACTTTCCAAACAGCTTTCTTCAAATACAATAAAGTATGTCTTTCACTGAGGGATTCCCTTTTAATTTTTAAACCAATTTTTCTTTTTCAGAAATCAGAAGGAGAAAGAGATCAGTTAAGCAGTGGGGTTTTTGTTTGCTTGTCTGTTTTTGTGATGGCTGAAAAATTGGATGGATCTTGATCTTTCTTCACACACATTTCACATTGGAACAGACCTTGATCTTATTTCACACAATGTAACTACACAGACTTCGATGACAGCCTCTTGCTAATTATGTCACTGAAATGTAAGAGATTCACTGTACCATTTTGCTCATACATAACAGTTTAAGCAGCTTTTCTTCTAACACTTGTAAAAACAAATTGTAGGTAAAGTACAGGAATGAAAATGAAATTCAGAACTAGGTATACAGGAAAGCTACAAGACACTAAAAAAAAGAATTTGGAATAAAATGCATCTCTTCAACTAAAACACCAACCCTGTTGGATTAGATTCATCAAACACTTTATTCATGGGAAGTTTCCTATGAAGATGTATTAAGTCTCGATGGGAAATATTTTCAGTGAGGTTTTACCAAGTAGAAAATACTCCTGATGTTGGTGGAGTTTTGGGATTTTTTTTAATCGGTTTTGCAATCAGCTCAGGGACTAATTCAAGGAAAACTTCAAGCTGATAGTACGGGTGATAAAACCAAATCAAACAGTTGTTATACTTATGATAAGTGTAAATCTGCATACTTAGGAAGCTGAAATGTAGCTTCTGTTAGGGGTGGAAAAAAAATTACTATTATTTTTGCTTTTGTCATCCTGGGCTTGAAGTTATGGGATGCTGGAACTCCCACACTTTTATAAGACAACTTTGCAAAGTGTATTCTAATAGTAAGTTGATACAGCTTAGTATTAATTGTCAATTAATCAGATGACTTTCTGAAAGCTTGAATATATACATTCAAGATGTCGGTGACTACCTTATCTTAAATGCACCCATTTTGAAATTATTTGACTGCTATCCTCTTACATATGAAGCACACAAAGCAATTTTATTGCTATATAAATTTCAGAAATGCATTTCTGTAAGCTTTATACACATATTTAATCTTTCTTTTATATATTTGCTTTTTCTTTTAGCAAGTGATGGAATAAACAACATTCATTTGGATGGATTATACTATATATGAACTGCCTGTTACTCTTTCTGCAAGAATAAGAAAAGCCCTTTGCTATCATTTGTTAAATAACAGCTTGATAGCAAAAAGCTTCTGAATGGCTCACGCTCACAGCAGACCATCAATTGAATGGGATCAGCACTTCTCCTACTAAAATATCTGAAGTTAAGGATTTGGAAAGCAGAGATGACCCACTTACAAGCTGGACTTAGTCCAGAGACTATAGAGAAAGCTCGCCTGGAACTGAATGAAAACCCAGACATTTTGCATCAGGATATCCAGCAAGTCAGGGACATGATCATCACAAGGCCTGACATTGGGTTTTTACGTACAGATGATGCCTTCATCTTGAGATTTCTCCGAGCCAGAAAGTTTCACCAAACTGAGGCCTTCAGACTGCTGGCTCAGTACTTCCAGTACCGCCAATTAAATCTGGATATGTTCAAAAACTTCAAGGCTGATGATCCAGGAATCAAACGGGCTCTGACAGATGGGTTCCCAGGAGTACTGGAAAATCGTGACCACTGTGGCAGGAAGATTCTTCTGCTTTTTGCAGCCAACTGGGATCAGAGTAGGTAAATGTAGATAGTGTCCTTATCTTTCTACATACACTCACGCTCAACTTGTAACAGAATATTTGTGACCATACTTGAAGCAGCAAGGCCGTTTTCAGTAAAATATTTTATAACCATGAGTCCATTTCACAGAAACTTTCATCTGATCTGATCACCTCTCATTCTTCAGACATAACACCACTGAGAGATAAGGGTATATCAGTGTGTTAGATAAGTAGCACATGTTTTTTTCCATAAATATTTCCAGGTTTTAGCCAGATAGTGTCTGTCTGCTATAAACACATTAATGCCTGTTATATAATCACTTGAGTAATATCATAGACTAGCCAAACAGGTTGACAGAAAGCAAATGTCTCAAAACATATGGGCGTTCTTGTAGCTCTTCTGGTGCAGAAGGAACTGACCATATTTATTCTGTCTCCAGACTTCTTAACAGATCATTTTTTTTGTTTTAACCATTTCACAAATTACAGCTTGTGTTACAAGATTTCCACAAACTGCATTGTAATTTCTACACACTCTGGTTACTGTATGCTTGTTAGTCTGATAAATGGGAGATCCATGCAAAGCGTATTTTCTCTTCAGGTCATTTCTTTACAGAATAGTATGAACAAAGATATCTCCCAGCCATTATTATAAAATGATGTCCTTAAATGTTAATGCGATTAGTCAGCTTTCACTACCTATTTGAAGTGATACGGAGAAAAGGGGCTAGTCCAGGAATATCATGTTCACATTGTCCTCTTCATCGGAAGTCATTCCATTCCATTTTACCTGCCTTCACAGTGAGATGGAGAAATGTAGTCAGCTGTAGGATTGCCATGTGTTCTTCTGATTTTTGATAAAAATCAGACCAAAGAACAAAATTCAGATTCAGGTTTTGAGTATCATAAATTCTGATGAGTTCCAGGTAGGATTTTGACTTGGCACTGTCTAAAGTTGTCCATGAAAGTGTCTCATCCTTAGGAGTCAATAGATTGGAGCTTTGAATTTATGTTATAGAAATTATTAGAGAACAATACACATATGCCTGAAATTTTTCATGCTAGTTGTTTTCTGAGAAAACCTTTCATCTGCATGTGAAAACAGAGTTCAGAAGTGTTTTTAATTTTCTTTTGCATGTAAAGCTCTTGTAAAAAAATGTACAGAAAAAGTTACAGAAATGTAACTTTGCATATACAAAAGTATTTGGTGAAATCCAGAACTGAAGACAGTGATAAAAGTCCTATTGACTACAAAGGGGTCAGCAGTTTATCATCTCCTGTCTTTCTGAACTGTGAGCTTGCCTTTCTTCCAACCACAAAAACCTTCTTTTAGCAATTGGCCTGGAAAGAAAGATGAATGAACAGGTATCTTGAAATAATAGAAAGTATCAGCTTTAGCGGACAGAAGCACTGTGGCTCTACTGGTTGCATTAAGGGATTTAGGTATTATATAGAGCCAGCTTTTGGTTTCTGATCCCTCAACAAAATGAATCCTTGCGATTAACCTCGTACATCAAGTCCTGCCCTGGGAAAGCTGAGAGTGCTGCTGTCTAAGGCTCCTGCATTGGGATTTTGACAGAACATTGATTCCTGTCAGGTTTTGCCTCAAATTTTCTGCAGGTCTTTTAATATGCATCCATGTATATGTGTATATATATGTGTGTGCAAAACCCAAAGTGATCCTGCATGCAAGATACCTTGTTTCTGAAAATGTAATTTTAACCTTCAAAGAAGAAAGGCTGAGGCTAATAGGATAGGATATACTTTCCTAAGACTCCTCAGTGAAATTAAAAATTTTACCGCTCTGCAGCCACTGAAGCTCAGCTCCTCTATGGATTTAAATGACAAGAAGTGTCATTTCTGTGGGCTTTTGTAGCACTGCAAGTGTTGCAGGGATTTGGGACAGGATTTAGGCTGTAAGTAAACAGAGGGATGACCTCCTCCTTTTTTACTGTCTAAATCAACAGGACCAAAAGCTGTTGAGGAATGAGAAATGATGAGTGCAATGTCCTGTTAAGCAGAGGGGAAGCAGGTTATTGACCAGAAGAAATATATATTCATATATATTTCACAAAAAAACCCCAAACAAGCAGGCATTGTGTATATCTTACAAACATATACCTTGGGCAACCTTTCTATAGACATGTCTTCAGTGATGGCAAGATGTTTACAAGCTTACATTTCAGCTGAATGTTAATGCAATCAATTCATATGATGCTGTGATGCTGATAGGCAAGAGTAAGAGCTCAGCCTTCAGCATGCCTTTCCTAACTTTAATCTCATTTGCAACTGTCTGTGTTTTCTCTTTCTTTATCATTAAATCATAATGATAAGGGGTCATTTATAAAGAAATTGTAATTTATAAAGGATCATTTAAAGTCAGCATGGCTATAATCCGCAAACCGATTTTCAGTCCAGACATTCTTACCATTTATACTCCTGGCGGTATGGTGGCTGTATGGATCACATGTCAAGGGGGGAGAAGCAGCCTCATAACTTTTTGATCTTACAAATATATTGATTTTTAAAAGGAAATGTCATTATGTGTGTAATGTGACTGCTTGGACAAATCGGATCCAAGCTATTCTGAAGGGATTTCCTGTGTTGAAGATAAAATTATGTGATCATTTGGAAACATTTGTAATTTTAGCTTCAAGAATGTAATTGATAGATCTAACATCTCTAGAAAACTAGGTTTTCATTTCCAGTCTCAGTGTTTCCAGCTTCAGGTTCCAGCTGCTGGATTGTGTTAGTTTAAAGGGACCACAACAACATGACAGCTTCCCATGTTTGTACTTTTGTGTCCTGACCATGTCATCTCTTAACCTACTTTTGAATTCACTGAGGATGCGGCACTGTAGGGTGAGTTACTGTCAGCCAACAAGAAGATAGTACATTAGCTACTCTACAGCAGCGGTTCTTGTGTTCACTTTTAACCATGGTGAATGTAAAACAGCTAGCCCTCTTTTCCTTGAAAGCAAAACAACCTTGTGTTGTCCACAAGGTAAAGAACATACTTGTGGGCAGCCAGCACAGCAAAGATAATGTTCTGCAAAGTATTGCACTAGCTTAATGTCTTGCAATATATTTATGCTGCCAAAGCATAAATAGATTGAACTTCTTTACTTGCAGAATTAGGAAGATTTTCCAGGTTGCTAATACTCTTCACCATTATTTTCTGGACCTTTCCTATCATTTTAGCGTTGTTGCTAATGTGCAGATGGATGAACTGAATACAAACTTTCACTAATAAACCATCATGTGGTAACACCATATCATCTGCTCAGTAGTTCCCTCCTTTTAGATATAAGATTGTCACTGTTTTCTTAGCTACTCTATCACATTTTGAGCTCATGTTCAGCTCAAATCTGCCTCCCAGTCACTGTTTCCTAAAATACAAACACCACTGGTAAATGTGTCATACATTCTCATCCACAATGTGGGCACAGTCTAGCATGTGATTCACGCTTTTCTGCAGAGCTAAACCCATCCTCCTCATCAATTATCATTGCATGGGTTTTGTGTCATCTGCAAAGTTCACGGGCAAGAGTTTTATTTTTGCTTCCACATCGTTGAAAAAGATGGTTATTTTTGTTTTGACCAAAACCTCCTTGATGACTAGGAAATAAACACAAGGAATGATAATTCTTATCTCCAAATCACTAGTTGAGATCTATCATGGTGCCAGGTTTTCATTCATTTAGCATGTGCTGCATTGGTTTGATTTTACTCTATTTTTTAGACAGGTTTCTTAGAGATGATGTCATCACTTTCTTTTTATGTCCTGCATAGTATATTTTGGATCTGTTAGTTAATGTTAATCACATATGATACAGAACAGAAAACTTCAGAGGTATTGAATAAGTGAAAATGAGCAGATGGATAGAAAAGAAAGAGATCAGATTAGTTCCACACTGAGGGAGAAGAAAAATGTCGAGCTATATTACTGTACACTAGAGAATCCATGCAGGGGAGGGCCATTGTTCACTTTGATCAGAGCTCAGTCCTCAGAGGTGCAGAATAATCCAACTACAAGGTGTGAACTCGCCCAAAACCCACAAAGGCTTCACATATACCATTGCTTACAGAGCACCTTATTTTTAAATGCAAATCATGGAGTAATAAAGACAGGTAAGGATGTCAAACTGATCTTGTCAGGAACTTTTCTGATGAAGTAATTTGCATCATAAAAAATCCCAGTTTGTAAAACAAATACATGCTACATACAAACATACAGTTTTGATGAGACCCGAACCAGGATTTCACATAAAAACAAATGCGCCATGTGCTGGATTACGAATACTCTTTCTCACACTTTTTCATTTCATCAGTCTCACCAAACCTAAGCCCTCACTCCTCTGATGCACCTCTAGTGAATCTGAAGCTTTTAAAGAAGTCAGGTAAGAGTGCCTTTTTGGCTGTTGGATGGAGGAAAACCTTCACTAACTACCGCAGCTGTTCCTAGGTCTGCTACTGCCTTCTAATATATCCTGCTCGTACACCGGGGAGATGGGGGGTTTGGGCGAACAAGTAATTCAGCAGAAGGTGTTCATTAATCTTCCAAGTAAAGATATTTCCTTCAAGGTTGTTCAGCCAGAGTAAAATTTATTTCTGTGTAGAGAGCCAGCACGAGGGCTATCTCCAATCATGATCCTCTGTGAATAGGGTCTTGGGGTAGGGGGGCAAAAGGTTGCCCATTGTCTTTTGCAGCAAAATAGTGATTAATTTCTGTCTTCATGTCTGGACTGTTGTGTCTTAGATGCTGTCACATAGCTCCAAAAATTCTGTAAGTCAGACAGAAAAAACTGCTGCTTTGTTTACGACATACATTCCCTAGTCAGCTGCTAGCCATAAATTCTCTTTTATTATCCAAGGAGCCTCAAATGTCAGATACTTACCATTCTGTAGGAAAGTGTATTGAGAGAGGTGAAAGGGCAAGGAAATACTCTGACATAATGGTAAATTGACAGCTATAAATATTTTAAAGGATCGCGATAGAAAAAATGATGTCCTTGC